GAGAGAGGGAACACAAGCAGGGGGAGTGGGAGAGGGAGAAGCAGGCTTCCTGCTGAGCAAGGAGCCCGATGTGGGCCTCTATCCCAGGACCCTGGGATCGTGACCCGAACCAAAGGCAGACGCCCAACGGACTGAGCCACCCAGGCAACCCTCCCCAACAATTTTTATTGCTTTATATCTTTATCGATTTTATTCATATTTTTAATATTAACATAGATACGATTTTGTGTCCTAGTTTTTTTAACTTGAGTAATTTCCTAAGTAATTCCTCCATGCTGCCTCATAGTCCCCACATTTTTTTATTTTTAAAACCTCAGTTAAGCCATGTATCACTCCACTGGTCACTTTTGCATTTAAACCCTTAGAACAGCTTTTTAAGGTAAGCATTGGTGTGTCCTATTTCACAGATAAGGAAACAGATTCAACTGTAACTGTCTCAAGTTCATACTCGCTGTAAGTAGAAGAGCTAGGATGTGAACCCAGATCTCTTGCTTACAAGTTCATTTCTCTTTTTACTTCATTGATCATATTTTTTTTTTCTTTTAAAGATTTTATTTATTTGAGAGAAAGAGCGCGCGAGTTGGGGGAGGAGCAAAGGGAGAGGGAGGGCCAAGCAGACTGTGTTGAGAGCAGAGCCTGACACGGGATCGATCCCATGACCCCGAGATCATGACCTGAGCCAGTACCAAGAGTTGGACACTTAACTGACTGAGCCACCCAGGCACCCCGATTGTAATTTTCTTTAGCATTCCTCACTGTTGGACATTTAGAGTTTGAAATAAGGCACATAGGGCGCCTGGGTGGCTCAGATGGTTAAGCGTCTGCCTTCGGCTCAGGTCATGATCCCAGGGTCCTGGGATCGAGTCCCGATCGGGCTCCCTGCTCCTTGGGAGCCTGCTTCTCTCTCTCTCTCTCTGTCTCTCATGAATAAATAAATAAAAATCTAAAAAAAAAAAAAGATTGAAATAAGGCACATAACTTTCTTATATGTAAACAGATGTTTGAATCCTCGGCCTCAGTAGAGTCCCTACAATTTCATTTATTTTTACGTTTGTTCTACAGATATTTATGGAGCACTTATTAGATGGCAAGCACTGTTCTGGGTCCTGAGTATACAAAAATATACTAAAACAAAAATCCCCATCCTAATGGGGCTTACGTTTCAGCAAGGATATACAGTCAAAGGAAACAAATGAAAAAGTAATGTATACAAACTGTGTCAGATGGTGATAGGTGCTACATAGCAGGCAGGCAGGAGAGAAAGTTCTTGGGGATTGGGGGGTTTCTATTTAAATAGGGTGGCTAAAAAAGACCTCTATAATAAGAAGACATTAAACTGAGACCTGAAGAAGGTGAGGGAGTGAGTCATGCAAACAATGACTGAGTTCTTACTATATGTCAGACTCTGTTCTAGGTCCTAGGATTCTAACAGTGAATGACTCAGGGAAGGTTTTTTTTCTCCCAGAATTGAACAGAATTTGGGGTTTGGGCAGATAGGATACATAAATAAAGCTACCTTGCTTCAAAGTCACTTGATCTTTTTGTATACACAAAAGTGACTTCAAAGGAAGAAGGCTTTTTAAGTATATGCTTTCATGCACTCTTCTCTGTTCCCGACAACAGCAATGATAGACAAAAACATTAAAAAACCAGAGGACATAGCCAGATTCAAAGACATGCTAAACATCTCTGTGGTAAGAAAACAGAATTGAAATGCAAATTGGTGAGTTGGTCTGAAGTTACAGGTTTGCTGGGTTCTAGTCAAGAAGCGGACAGTGGGGACAAACCAGGCTTACTGCTTAAAGCCAGAGTATAAAGCAGGGCTTTTACCCTTTTCCCATTCCCATCCCTACCCCTCAAGGAAAGTAGAGCCAAGGAGTAGGGGCACTATTAGTCACCTGCCTGGGTCTTTAGGGACTTTTGTCAAGCTTCAGGCCTATGGAGACTTGACTGTATGCATACCAAGAATTAAACCAAGCTGACCACCATTTATGAGTGTTATATCCATGATATTACCTCAAAGACATAAGTTCTAACATGCCAAGGAGTAGCATCCATTTTTAGAAAGGAAGTGATTAAACAGAGAGAGGCAGAGATGAAACATATATATAGAAATAAAAAGAATCATTTAGAAATCTTGAAAATGTAAAAATCAGTCATTAAAGCTAAACCAAACCAAACCAAATCAAACCACAAAACCCCACAGGGGCACCAGGCTGGCTCAGTTGGAAGAGTTCACGACTCTTAATTTCAGGGTTGTGAGTTCAAGCCCCACGTTGGGTATAGAGATTATAAATAAATAAACTTTAAAACAAAACCCAAAAAACTCCACAAACCAGCCTTCAATAGAAGGCTTCAACTCTAGACTGAACAAAGTTGAAGAGAAAACTAGAGATTTGTGAGACAGTACTGAGATTCACCCAGAATGCAGCCCAGAGAGATGGACAGAAAAACTGTAAGAGTGTTTGAGATGTGGATGAGGACGTTTGCTTCCAGCAGTCTGGCACACTGGGTACTCTGACCAGCCTTACAACTGAAAACAACTAAAAATGCGGGGTAAAATTTTTTTAAACATCCTGAATGCTTCAGATCAGTCAATTGACAAATTAGTCAAGAATACTCAGTGGCCAGAAATCAAACGAAAGTAGGAATACGAAGATATTTTATTTCAGAGGTGCCTGGCTGGCTCACTCAATAGAACATGCCCCTTTCGATCTCAGGGTTGTAAGTTCGAGCCCCACGTTGGGTGTAGAGGTTACTTAAAGATAAAATCTTAAAAAAAAAAAGACAAGATACTGTATTTCAACTAATCTAAGATGTCATTAAAAATACGGCTGATTAGTCTCTAACGTGCCAGTGTTTAAAAGACTTATCTAGATGTTGAAGATATTAAATATTTTTTTAAATGCAAAAAAATGCATTTTGTAATCTGTAAAATACAATTCGTAGAACACTAAGACTACTAGCGCCTCAAGAGACCTTGTTGAACTATATGGGATTGAACTTTGGTTTCAATGGCCTCACAGAGCACAGTGGGGAAAAAAAAAGAAAAAGCTAAGAAAATTGGAGTACTAGGCCAGGAGGTCCAATATTTGAATAATAAGTGTTATGGAAAAGGGAACAAAGAGTCAGAGGGAAGGAAATCATCAATGAAATAATTTATAGAACAGGTAAATGAGTGTCCAGAGTGAAAGGGCCCATCAAGTGCCTGGCACGCTGGATGAGAATAAACCCATGCTACAGTGCACTATCTTGAAATTTCACAACACTAAGGACAGAAAAAAAGGGGGGAAATATACTACAAACTTCCAAAGGGACAAAAGAAGTCACATAAAAATTTCAGGAATCACAATAGCTTTGCATTTCTCAAAAGAACACAGAGGGTGATGAAGCAAAGCCTTTAAACTTCTGGAGGAGGGGCACCTGGCTGGCTTGGCCTACTGATCTTGAGGTTGTAGGTTCAAGCCCCATGTTGGGTGTAGAGATTACCTAAAAATAAAATCTTTATTTATTTTTTTTTTTAAGATTTTATTTATTTATTTGACAGAGAGAGACACAGTGAGAGAGGGAACACAAGCAGGGGGAGTGGGAGAGGGAGAAGCTGGCTTCCCGCCAAGCAGGGAGCCCGATGCGGGGCTCAATCCCAGGACCCTGGGACCATGACCTGAGCCGAAGGCAGATGCTTAACGACTGAGCCACCCAGGTACCCCTTGACCCTGTAGTTTCTGACAAAGAATATAGGATATTAATCCTTGCCAGTTATGTGTTTTCAGTATTTTCTCCCAGTTGGTGGCTTGTCTTTTTACTTGATTTTACTTTTGATGTACTGAAGGTCTTAATTTTAACTTGAATTCATCAATCTTTTCTTGTGATTTGTGCTTTTGGTGTGTTTTATTGAATTTTCATTGCCCTGAGATTGTGAGATAGTCTTATATATGTACGGTCTTTTCAATGTTTTATAGTTTGGCCTTTACAGTTAAATCTTTAATCTAGTTGGAATGGAGGGATCATTTTTTCCCCATATGGATAACTAATTGTCTTTGTACCACTTTTTCTTAAAAAGTTTATCCCTTCTCTGCTGATCTGCAATGCTGGCTCTGTCATAAATTAAGTTTACATAGTTATGAGGATCTGTTTCTGAATTCTCTATTCTGTGTCAGTGGTTAATTCTCTATCCCCATGCTATATAAATGACAAACGATTTGCTATCCAGAATACTAAGGAACCCCAAAAAAAGGAAAAGAAAGTAGAAAAATGGGCTACTTGCATAGATACTTCACAGATGAGGATACATAAATGACCAATAAAAACATGAAAATAACTTTTTTTAGATAAAGATATTCAGATATTTTACTCTTACACTTGAATGGTAGTTCAGGTGGGCATAGGTTTTTAGGTTGCAAACTGTTTTCTGTCAAAATTTTATTTTTTCTTTTTAAGATTTTATTTTGGGGCGCCTGGGTGGCTGGTTAAGCATCTGCCTTGGGCTCAGGTCATGATCCTGGGGTCCTAGGATCAAGCCCCAAGTTGGGCTCTCTGCTCAGCGGGGCTCTCTCAGCCTGCTTCACCCTCTTCCCCTCCCATCCCCGCTCATGCTCTCGCTCTCTCTCAAATAAATAAATAAAATCTTAAAAAAAAAAAGGAAAGACATAAAAAGCAAGTGGTATTTTGTATAAGACAAAGAACCAGTCACATTTTAGAAGCTACCAGGCAGCAGAGGTCTTTTGGAATGTCTTAAGATTGGGAGAGTGAATTAATGTGCTTTAGGATCAGAGTGAGGCCTTGGCCCAGTCTCACAGCTGTCCCCACTTCCTTTCCTCTTCAGAGAGTACACACTAGATGTGTACAGACTCTCCTCCGTGGTCACACAGCACGATGCCAAGAAAGCTGGGGCTGAGGTGGTAAAGCAGGTGGAGCACCCTTTGCTGAGTGGTCTGCTGTACCCCGGATTACAGGTACTGGGAGGGATGGAGTTGCCCAAGGACCTTTTCTGCTCTGGTTCTAGCTACTGGTCGCTCAGCCCCAGTGAAGCCCAGGTACTTGCTGTTCCTTCACTGTGCTGTAGGCCTTCCTTCCTGTCTCTCTCCCCTTCCCTTTGACTTCTTCAGCTGTAGGTCCTCCCCTATCTGTCTGCACTTTAAAACACTGCTCATCTCACACATCTTTTTTTTTAAATTTATACATTAGTTTATTTGCAGATTGTATATTTTTTTCTTTTTTTAAGTAAGCTCTATGCCCAGTGTAGGGTTTAAACTCACAACCCTGAGATTAGGAGTCTCACCCTCCACTGACTGAGCCAGCCAGGTGCCCCCAGATTTTATATATATATTTTTTTTTTTTTTTAATAGGGAAATGCATTTTTTTCATCTTTATTGTATCATTTATCATTGAGGGGCGGATAGGTTTTGTCTATTTATTCCATTATTTCTCTTTCTTGGAGAATCTCTGTGTTTTACTTATTTAGGTGAACTTTACATGAAAGATCTTAAAGAATACTTTTTTATTTTAAATGCTTGGGGAATTTACAGAGTTATTTTCCTGGATTGGTAATTTTTATATGTTTTCTTATAAAGTGCATTTCAGTTAACAAATCTATTTACACAGGTATACATGGAAATTCACATCAGTTATTTATAGATCATACTGACAAACCACATTGTAAGTCTTCTATGCAAAGGTACACTGGGTGTGACTATTGGCTGAAAATGGCCTGATGACTAGGCTTTTTACACATACATAGTAAATGGGTTTGTTTTTTCATGTCTGCAGAATATGCCAAACACACGGAGGCCAGTCCTCTCAGAGAATGCTTTGCAGTGTCACATATCCACTTTATGTTGATTATGATCTCTTAAGTGAAGAAAATTTCAGAGTGATGTGTAAAAATAAATTTTAGGCGGGGCACCTGGGTGGCTCAGTCAGTTAAGCAGCCAGCTCTTGATTTCCATTCAGGTCATGATTTCAGGATTGTGAGATAAAGCCCTGCCTCAGGCTCCACGCTCAGTGGGGAGTCTGCTTGAGATTCTCTCTCTCCCTCTCCCCCCACCACATGCCATCTCTCTCTAAAATCTTTATTTATTTTTTAGGATTCTATTTATTTGACAAAGAGAGTGAGAGAGCACAATCAGGGGAAGCCTCAGGCAGAGGGAGAGGGAGAAGCAGGCTCCCCAGGACCCTAGGATCATGACCTGAGCCAAAGGCCCACACTTAACTGACTGAGCCACCCAGGCAGCCCATAAAATAAATAAATCTTTTTTTTTTTTTAAGATTTTATTTATTTATTTGACAGAGAGAGACACAGCGAGAGAGGGAACACAAGCAGGGGGAGTGGGAGAGGGAGAAGCAGGCTTCCCGCCAAGCAGGGAGCCCGATGTGGGGCTCCATCCCAAGACCTGGGACCATGACCTAAGCCGAAGGCAGACACTTAACAACTGAGCCACCCAGGTGCCCCATAAATAAATCTAAACAAAACAAAACAAAATAAAATAAATAAATTTTAGGCATGATCCTATTTTCTGTTAAATGAAGCACATCATATTTCATGTGTGTGCATTTATATGAGCAAGGAGAAAGAGAAAAATTCAAACCGACTTGTTAATATTGGTAACTAGCTCAGAAAGATAGGACAAAAATGGTATAGACTTAACTTTTTCTTTGTATGTATATATTTTTAGATTTTTATTTATTTATTTATGTATTTGAGAGAAAGCAAGCGCACATGCAAGTGGGAGGGTAGGGAGAGGGAGAGAGAATCCTCAAGCAGACTCCACTCTGAGCTTGGAGCCCAACGAGGGCTCCATCTCACAACCCCGAGATCATGACCTGAGCTGAAACCAAGAATCAGACACCTAACTGACTGAGCCACCCAGGCGCCCCTCTTCATGTATGTCTGTAACATTTGATATGAGGGGTACCTTTGCTCCTCCTCCCGTTCGCATGCACTCTCTTCCTCGCTCTCAAATAAATAAATAAATAAATAAAATCTTAAAAAAAAGATGTTTGGTAGAAGAATATCAAGTCTAACCTCATCACCTCCAAAAGAGCTTTCTACGGGTTAAGCCTGGACATGTTCTAGATCTGCCCTGCCCCCTGTGGTAGCCTCTCCTCTAGTCGTGGTCATGTGTGGCTATTAAAAATAATTAAAATTAAAATTCTTAGGTTTCAGTCACATTGGCTATATTTCAAGTGCTCACAAGCCACATGTAGCTAGTGGCTAATCTACTGAACAGCACAGACATAGAACATATTCATCATTCCAGAATATTATAGTGGACAGTGCTCTTCTAGATTATTCCAGCTTGCTCACCTTTCTCTTCCCCTCCTTCTTCCTCTTCCCTCCATTCAATTAGACGTGAAATCATACCAATTCTACTTTTAAAATCTCTTAAATGTGTTTTTGTTCTACATCCCTGCTGACCTGGTTCGGCATTGTTTCCTACCTGGCCTCTCATGCAGCCTCCTCGCTGTCTTCTTTGTCTCCAGTCCAAAGGGCTCTACTCCGTGCCCTGCCCTCTTACTGGTGTGATCTTTCTACAGTGTGGGCCAGGACGATGCTAGGCACCCTAGCGTGATGGTCAGGATCCTTCTCTGAGGCCATCACTAACCACTTCCTACATCCGTTGAAGTTTGTGCTTTTGCATACTGAATCACTAATTTCTCTAAACATTTCACACCTCTTTGCCATCTGACATCTGTTTCCTCTTCATGGTGAAAAACATCTATATATTCTTCAAAACCAGGGTCAGCCCACAGTCTGATTCCAGGAAGCCTTCATTGCCATCTGTCTGACCAGCTAGAGAGAAGCATTTCTTTCTTTGTTCCTTAAATGACCATCTCAGGTAGCCCTTCAAACACTGCACTGAAATTATCTGTTTACATGTCTCTCTTTTCAAAGCTGGGTAATTGGCTTCTTATAGGCCGAGTCTGGGTCCAATTCAGCTCTGCATCCTCAGGGCTGGTACTAGGCCTGGCAGGTAGTAAGTGACAAAATCAGCTTAGTCTTGTCTTTTGTTTCTGAGCTCTCACAGCACGTTCTTCTTACGCCTTTTTTTTTTTTTAAGATTTTATTTATTTATTTGACAGAGGGAGAGAGTGCAAGAGAGGGATAAGCAAACTCCCTGCTGAGCAGGGAGCCCAATGCGGGGCTCCATCCCAGGACCCTGGGATCATGACCTGAGCGGAAGGCAGACACTTAACTGACTGAGCCACCCAGGCGCCCCTCTTATGCCATTATTTGACATTTGTCACAGGCTGCGTTATTCAGTGGGTACCTTTGACCCGACTCTGGTGTGTCTGCTCCTTCTTCCCTCCCTTCCCCATGGACTGTGAGCTTCCCAAAGGCAGAGGCTCTTACTTTTTCCCCCAAGACATCCACATGGAGTTCTGTCCACCACAGGCACTCAGCTAATGTTTATGCTGTTCTTGAGGCCAAGAGGGAGGCTGGATGCTGCTTTATTTGCTTCCTGGCTCTACTTTCTGAAAAAAATGTAGTGATTTTCAAAAGTTTCTGATTTCCCAGATCCATATAGAAGAAATACAGTAGGAGTTTATGCTCATGTGGTTTTTTTGTTTTTGTTTTTGTTTTCCACACAGGCCTTGGATGAAGAGTATTTGAAAGTAGATGCCCAGTTTGGAGGTGTTGATCAGAGAAAGATTTTTACCTTTGCAGAGAAGGTCAGTGTTCTCTTTCCTATCTTTTTTTCTTTTGTGCCTTAGGTATACAATTAAGGTTTATTGACTATGCCGGTCCCACCACTCATAACTATATTTTATGGCGGGTATTGTTCTCCCTGTTTTGCAGACGAGAAAACTGACTGTCGAGAAAGAAAGTTGTCTGTTATCACACAGTTAGTGACTAAGCAGCAGTTAGCCTCAGACCTGACTCAAAAGCCAGAAAGCTGCCCCCAGACCTGTTGGATTTGCTTCTTTCCTAATAACACAGTTTCTAGGGAAAGGGACCACCAGTCAACTACTGGTCTTTCCCAGAGCATTCGGTCCATATTGCTCTGGATCTTACATAAACCACTTGTCTCTGAGATGAGGCTTAACAGGGTTTAAAGGAGGAAATCAGAGCAAACCCTTAATAGTTCTTTTTGGGGAAAGAACTTGAGTAAGTTGGAAAGGGCCATTGAGAAATGGTTGTTATTTTTGAAAGTTTCTCAAAACCTCATCTTGGCAAGGGTATGGAGAAAACACTTAGTGGAAATGTAAATTTCCGGGAGGGTAGTTTTCCCTGATAATTATACAAATTGGTGCTAAGGAAATAATTTTAAAAGTGCAACTTCAGTTACATATGAAAGTATTTATCACATTATCCATTTAAAGGTAAAATCTAGATACAGGGACGCCTCACTAGTTCAGTCGGTAGAGCATGCGACTCTTGATCTCAGGGTTGTGTGTTCAAGCCCCACATTGGGTATAGAGATTACTTAAAAATAAAATCTCTAAAAAAAAATCTAGAAATAAACTCACATCCAATGGCAAGGGATTATTATGTTATGATATGTGTTATGATAACTCCTTACAATGGAATATTATATAGTATTCTTTAAATACTTTAAATTTATTTAAAATTTATTAAATAAATTTTTTGGATGTATTTTTTATTAAGTTTTTAATTTTATTTCCAGTATAGTTAACATACAGTGTTATATTAGTTTCAGGTGTGCAATATACTGGTTCACCAGTTCTGTACATTACTCAGTGCTCATCACGCAAGTGCACTCCTTAATCCTTACCCCCTATTTCCCCCATCCCCTCACCCTCCTCCCCTCTGGTAACCATCAGTTTATTCTCTGTAGTTGAGTCCTGTTTCTTGGTTTTCTCTCTTTCCTTTTTTTTCCCTTTGCTAGTTTGTTTTGTTTCTTAAATTCCACATATGAATGAAATCATATGGTATGGTATGGTATGGTATGGGAGCCTGCTTCTCCCTCTCCTTCTGCCTGCCACTCCCCCTGCATGTGCTCTCTCTCTCTGTCAAATAAATAAAATCTTTAAAAAAAAAAAAAGAAAGAAAGAAGTCAGTCAGAAAAAGACAAATACCATATGATTTCACTCATGTGGAATCTAAGAAACAAAACAAATGAACAAAGGGGAAAAAAAAGAGAGAGAGGCAAACCAAGAAACAGACTCTTAACTGTAAAGAACAAACTGATGGTTACCCCAGGGGAGGTGGGTGGGGGACGGGGGAAGTAGGGGATGGGGATTAAGGAGTGTGCTTGTTGTCATGAGCACCGGGTGATGTATGGAAGTGTAGAATCACTAAATTCTACACCTGCAACTAATATTACAGTGTATGTTAACTAAAGTTTAAATAAAAAACTTCAAAAAAAGAAAGAAAGGTTGTATATTCAGTAAAAGAGATTGGAAGAACTATATCAAACTGTTACGTTGCTGGCCAAGTTAGATGAGATTGGGGCACTGAGGAGCAGTTTATACTAACACGTGCTTTGTGTGTTTCTTTCTAACCCCCAGTACCTCCCTGCACTTGGCTACTCAAAACGGGTCCATCTGATGAATCCTATGGTTCCAGGATTAACTGGCAGTAAAATGAGCTCCTCAGAAGAGGTACGTTTTCCAGCTCTGACTTGAGTTTAGAAATCTTCAGCAAGAGATGAAGGGATTGAGGACTCAAAAGAAGAATCCCCTCGCTAACTAGAATTCTTGTAGATTTGAGTTCCAAGGACTCTGAAGTCATCCAATTAATTTCAGTGGTTCTTGAGTATTAAAGGACCCAGAAGCAGTCCTGATGGGATCCAGTCATAATCTTAACAATTTTACTGTGGCTGATAAAACACACTAGCAAAAGTAATTTCTTCATTCATAGAACTGTGATAAGATTCAGCCTTGTTCATGAGGTTAATGAGGCTAGGGTTGCATTTCACCATATAGCATCTTGATTCTCAGGGTGATGTTTGATATAACTAATGTGATAAATACAGTATCTTTTACCAGTTAAAAATCCTGCTTAGGAAAAGTGCACTTTTGATCACTAAGGGTACAGAATGGAGGATGTAGTGGGACCCAAAGATGTGAAAGGTTGAGTTCTGGGTTCCCAAACACAGCTGAGCTTCAGAACCACCTAGGGAATTAAAAAAAGAGAGAGAAAAAAAAAAGCATTGATTCGACTCTGTTCTTAGAGATTCCGATAAAGTGGTTCTGGGAACATCAGGAATCTGTATTTTCTTTCTTTCTTTTTTTTTTTTTATTAACATATAATGTATTGTTTGTTTCAGGGGTACAGGTCTGTGAGGAATCTGTATTTTCTTTCAAATTCCACTAGGTGATTCTGATTGAAGTCACATTTTGGTGTTCATCTAGTTCTTTAAATCTGACTTTTCAGTCTTTGATCAGAGACCAGTAAATATACACATGGAAACTGTTATTATTTTTAAAGGAATATATAAAATATTTGTTTTTCTCTGTGTTAAAATGCTCCAGGTATCAGTTATTTCTCTGACAGAATATCATATCACTCACCCTATTTAGTGACTTCACCGTATCTTAGCCCTGGAAATCAGTGTTAGCAGCCATTTCTGAACATGACTGCATCAGAATCACTCAGAGAGCTTTTTAAAAATGCAAATACCTGGCCCAACCTCAAGAGATTTTGATTCATCTCCTGGTAATTTACATTTTTTAAAGGCACCCCAGATGACTCATACATAGGCATACACAGACCAGAATTTGGTAACCACTGAACCCAAAGAACCATGAGCTTACTCATTCCAAAATAAGAAACAGTTCCTATTACCTAAAAAGGGAAAATGGCTCTAGATACTAGGCGGTACCTGATCTGGGGGGGTTGCCACGTAGCAAGCCGCTCACACACTGTTCTGGGCAGTGACAATGAGTATGCCCTTTTCAGAAAATAGTTTTGGGCCTGGCGGTTTTGGGTAGCTTAGGCAAATAATCCTAGAGAAGGCAGAAACAAAAACAATAAAAACCTCTGCAAAGATATTCATTGTAATATCGTATATAATTTGTAAAAATTAGAAAAATCTAACAGTTCAGAAATTATGTTGTCACTAATAATTGGGAATGTGATACAGCATACAAATTAGAGGCAAAGACTAGATAGCCCCTCAGAAATACTTACGATATAGTCTCAAGTGAAAAAGCAAAGGGTAGACATTTGTTCTCAAACTCTACAAGTTTGTAACGATTCTGTGTGTTATACGCCTGGGAAGAACACAGGAAAATTGAAATTGTGGTTTTTGTCAGGTGGCAATATTGTGAGTGGTTCTTGACTCTGATTAATTCTGCTTTTGTTAAATTTGTTAATGTTTAAACCTCTGTTAAAAAAAAAAAATTAGGGCGCCTGGGTGGCTCAGTTGGTTAAGCGACTGCCTTCGGCTCAGGTCATGATCCTGGAGTCCCGGGATCGAGTCCCGCATCGGACTCCCTGCTCAGCAGGGAGTCTGCTTCTCCCTCT